AAAAAAAAATGCTTGATTGTTAATTCACGTATTAGGATGATAAAAAAAAAAACTGTTCTAGGAATAGGCGCAGTGAAAAAACGAAAAAACGATTCTGATCGGAGTTCAGATGATAGTGTATTTGCTTTCTTAACAATATGTCATATCAAGTCATATCATATTCCCATTCATTGGGAAAACTAGTGAGAAAATCAAAAAATGACAACTCTAAAATATCTTTTTTTTGACATATTGTTTGACTTATGTATTGTACATTTTTCTTTATTTTGAATATTTGCATGATAAAATGGCTGTAACATAAATTTTGAACTACCCACCCTGTAGATGTAGTCTACTATTATAGTCTACTCTAGTGGTTTTCTACCTGGGGGTCACGAATGATAGTTTCGGGGTAGCCAAAAATAATGGACGAAATGGTTTTTCCATATTATTCAAAAATAAAATAAAGTTAATTATTTATTTTGTTCTATTTCATCGTATATAATTAACAACACGTTTTAAAATAATGTTGTTTTATAATTAATTCAATTTTTAAATGTAAATTAAACAAAATTGAATACCATGCAAGTATTTTATCGGTAACTAAATTAAACATTGATGAACAAAATACAATATTTTTTTTTGAAGGGGTCACATTATGAAAAATTAAAAAATGAGGGGTCGTGTTTCGAAAAAGGTTGAAAAGCACGGGTCTACTCTATATTATCGCTATTATCGAATTATTTGATTGGATATTTTGGTATGATATGCTATTTTTAGTGATGAGTACTGTTAAAAAACGACTATCGAATAATTCGTGATGGTGTTATTGAAATAAAATTAAAATAATGTTGCCTAATCAATTGTGCACATTTATAGCATTCGATATCATATTATCGGAATAATTAAATATTAATCGATAGTAATAATTATTCGTTATCACCTATTGCACCTATTTTATTTTCATAACAAACTATTAAGAAATTGTTAAATTATTACATTATATGATATAATATTTATTATTATATTTTATATTTTCGTGTTGTATATGTATTTATATTTGTTAGGTATCTGTTATTAAAATCATATGACTTCAGAGAAATGTTTGAAAACTTGTCACAAGGTACATTATAAGTTGCACTGAATGGTGTAAGAAATAAATCTGTGGTTAATGCACTTTTATTTTCTTAAGCGATTTAAGATAAAATTTTAACGAAACTCGTAAAATAACCGTGTTACGCGATAACATCGGTTTTCGCACGGACTAGTAGAATTTAAAATGGCTGTTACTTAGAGACTATTAATTGAATATAAATGTGTGATGCATTAGAATTTTCGGAAAAATAATCTTTACAGAATGGCTATCTTAAAATTTTCCGAAAAAAATAAAATAAAGTTATTTGAAAAAGAAAAAAAAATCGATTCAAATATATATATTTGTAGTCCTCTTCCCTGTGAGTAATATACAAAAAAAAAAAACGGGACAGCCTGTATATCTTCGTGGGACAGCCTGTATATAAACTAAATAATTTAGTCCCCAGTATCTGTTCTTTTATGTTTATTTTAATTTGAACAAATATAGCTATTTATTTTTAAAATTTTACCCTAGCGCAATATACATGTCACTTTTTTACACTTGACGAAAATTCGGGCACAGTTTACACATAATATGATTTTCCGTTTACCTGTGCCTCGGGTACAGTTTACACTCGGTACAATAGAAAACGAGGTCATTGTATTTTACCGCAGTTGTAACCCTCATCGGCCCTTAACCTAACTATTGTGACCGATTATGATTGGCGACAGTTTGTTCTCAGGCCAAATTCGCGAGTGTGGTCCGAGCGATTGGAATCATGGGTATACCGTCCGTCAAAATGACGCAACAAATTATGTCGCGGGTGAAAATATCACTATATCAAAAAAAAAATCTACTATTATAATTTTTTTTTTTTTGTAATTCAATTTGTATTGATGTTTTTGTTTTGCGTATTTCGATACGTCTAAATATTTAGCCTTTATTATTTTTTCGTCAAGTTATCAGACTAACTTTTAATATAAACGAGTAAACGCACATAACACGCCACTGGCTGTGAAAGTGTTAAACTATTTGTTGTACATTTTGTAGTCATTATTCGTGAAATTTATGATGTCTTCAAGAAAAAAAAAATAAAGTACAAGGATTCTGCAGTAAGACTATAGCAGAAGTTGTTAATAAGTACGAACAAATATTAACTGACGACTACTTGAGCGGAATATCCTACAATATTCAATGTCCATTATAATACAAATAAAACAATATTGTTTTTTAATTAACGTAATTGAAAGTATAAAATGTATAAATGACAGCTACATAATGTAATGTACAAATATATTTTTTTTTAAAACTGTTAACAACTGAGTGTAAACAAAACTAAAAGTTAAATTGAAAAAAATTGATTGTTGGACTTTTATATTGCGGATTTTACGAATTTTTATGTGGTTATATTATTGTACTACCAAGCGATAATTTTTTGTTCGTAAAATTCTGACCATAGCATTATTGCCGTGACATTTTAACATGCATTCGTTTAGAACAAATGTACGTGACCGTTTAGACGTGGCCAGTTGAATGCAAGACAAATTAGAAAAAAAAAAGGATTTTAATTTAGATTAAATAGTAGGTATTAAAGGTTTCTTCATACATTTCAATACATTTTTAAATTAATTTTCAATAATTTTTTTTTTCATATTTTTCAATTTATTTTTTGTGATGATTTGAAATTAATATTTTAATTAACTGACTATTGACTATGACTATTTCTATTTGAATGTATTTAATCGGATTAAAATATTTTTTTTTTTTTGGCTGAAAATAATGGCCACGTCTTAATGTTTTTTGTGCCCAATTGACGTCCAGTTGTCCTAGACCCACGCGGTTTCCAACCTACGTTCATGCACCGATTAGCCTACGGGCCTGCGTTAGCCTCGTGGTTTCGTTTCCTCTTTCAAGAATCCACTGATGAATCTCGTATTTTTAAAATTTTTTTTTTGATTTTCTTATAGTTTTCGCTTTATTTTTCCATATACGGTAAACGCGTCGACTACATATAAAATATAAACACCGCAGGCTGTTGCGATTATCGTTCGAGAATAATCAGCAGCAGTGCCGGTGGTATCCGATTGGCTGCATCCGAGTTTCGTCTCAAACGTAAAATTAGAATTTAAATTAATGATATTGTAGACATTAGTTCCGTTCCGGGTTTTTAAAATGGATACACTAATTCCGTCCCACGTAATTTATTTAGTTATACGATTTCCGTTCCATTTTGCATTTTTTACCCTATATCAATACAGGATACAATTTACGACTACGATAACGATTTTATATTATTTAAAAATAAAGATAATATTGCTTTCAGTTATCACATTAAATAATAGAATTTAATAATACTATTTAACTTTAAAACTTTCCAGTCATTGTTTGTGCGTTTGCGTATCTGGATTTATTATTTTTTATTCTACTGATATAGTAATATTGTAATTGAGTTAACTTTCTTTTTATTAGTGACGGAATCAGTATACACCATTTTTTCACCCGGGATGGAGTCTGTATAAAAACGGTTATTGAGACGGGATTCAGATTCAGTCATCCGATGAATACGTTTTCGGTAAGTACCCAATAGTATATTATATTATCATTCGTTTATCGTAATAGAAAATTAATCGAACCGATCGACGGAAACGGTTTATTACTATTATACGTCGGTGGTACTGATATGACACATATTTTTTGTACTGTAAGTTTATTTTTTCTGACGGTATGGTTTAATTCACATAGATATTATATAATAAAGAATAGATAGGCTACAAGTCCGGGCTAAGTGTTCCAGAAAGCGACTGTCATTTATCTTTTACTACTTAGGTGATTTGTTTACGTACGTCACGTTGTCTTATCATAAAAAATAATGTAAACAAATCGCCCGAGTTCGGTTGATTAGGGAACGAAAAAGTGTACAGGTCTAGTATGGTCAACGTCTCGTATTTTAACTTTTTGTCCCGTTGTCTCGACGAAAGTTTTACGGGACGCATTTGGTCCCGTTTTTTCAAGTCTGTCCCGTATTAATATCGTTTCCTCCCTTATTGTCAATGTTTAACATGAAATATCTATTTTATAATGATATTTGTGGTTTAATGTTTTGACCATTCTAGCGGGTGTATACATGATATTACACACGGTATATAATAAGTGATGACCAACATTTTAAAAACGATTCTTGTAATTAGTTTTTCACAATATTTGATTAAAAGATAATAAATTATACTTGACGCAATTAGTTTGGCACAAAAGTACAAAAAACGGCAGAAGACCAACAGCCATTATGAAAATAAAATTGTCCGTGTAAAAATATTTTATTTGTAGGTATTTAAAATCCTTTATGTAGGTCATGTTTGTTTTGTTTTTGTAAATTATAATAATTTTGTTTAGGTTTATTTCTACATTATACTTACTTACATCATGTTATTTTAATAAATAACAATTATAAAACATTAATTTGTTTATTTTTAGTGTCTCGTATTTTCATGGTCACCCTTGTCTAGTATGATTGGGATGGCCTGTCCGTTCTTAAATTATTTTTTATCCACGGTTTTACCCGACCGGTTTCCGCGGAATCGAAATCGGCGTTTTCCCCTTTTGAACGCGAGAGGCCCTGTCCGCCGTCGTTTCGCCCGCGGGCTCGTGACCGCCCGTCCTTCATCCATACCCGCGCAGTAGTACAAAATTATTATACGGGGTGTTCAATCTATCATAAAACACTCATTATCTCAAAAAGTATTAAATTTTTTAGGAATTTATTTTCTAGAACATTTCAGAAACAAGCTGTTCTACAATTTTATATTTATATTATTTTTCGAAAATCTTATTTTTAGGGTTAAAACCAATACCTACTTATGATTTTAAAATTGCAATTTATATTAAAAATTGCATAAATAGATGGAGTATTATTTAAAATACATTTTTGATTTCCGTCAATTCGTTGATCAGATATTCCACTTTTAAGTTTGTGTTGAAGGAGAATAGTGGAGTATCACTTGTGGACGGTACGACGCGCAGCGTGTTAATAATAATTCACCAACAATTTGCCCCAACCCAAACTTAAAAGTGGATTATCTCATCAACAGACTGACCGAAAACAAAAATTTTAATACCAACATTTATTTTGACTAATAATAATCTATTTATGGAATTTTTAATATAGGTTGCCATTTGAAAATTAAAAGTAGGTAGTGGTTTTACCCCCAAAAATAAGGGCGATAAAAAATAACATAAACATGAAATAAATTTCCCAAATATTTTAGAAAAAAATTTCGGAAAAAGTTAATACTGTAGAAATCTCACTGGCCGATTTTTCGTCGGTACGATAAAAAATTCCCGATAGATGGTGACAAGATATCCAAATTATTAATTAATTGAGATTTTAGTTTGGTCGTCACGTGCCATCATACTCACATTATGCGTGTTGTTATCAAATTTCCTATAAAACTACGATTTATTGTGCAATAATAAATTTTTACCAGAACGACGTGAATATAATTTTATAATATTCAACATTAATTGACTATATTAATTATTAATTAAAATACTAACATTTATAAATACTTAATAAAATTTAAATTTCAAACCGGATACAGAGTGCTAATGAAATTATGTTTTATACATTACAGAGATAAGAACTACAAATATTTATATTTTAATTCAGTTTTAATGTTTTGGTAAAAAAAAACTAAAAACAACTTTTTTTTTATTATTTTCGAAAAATATGCAGATAGCCATTTTATGGAATTGTTTCGTCAACAAATTTTTGACGTTTCAACTTTTTGTTTTCATTAAGTTCGTGATTTTTATTAATTTTTTAAAGTTCAGAGAAAAGTACATACTCGTATAACTATGCAGTAGGTTGTAATCGAAGTCACTAATTTATTATTACTACTTTAGTAATTGACTGTACACTTTTTTTTGTCTTATTAAGTACAGTAGATTTCTTAATAATTGGGAAAAAACGTATTTTTTAGTTTTTATTTGGCAGGCAACTATGTGGATAAAATCATTTGATTTAATTGAAATGTTTGAAAGTTTTACACGAGGTTCATTATAAGTTGAACTTAGTAGTAATAAAAATAAAGTTAAACGTATGCAGTAGTTTTTTTCTTTACAAGTTTTAATATCAATTTTTGACGAAAATCGTCCAAACCAATTAAATTATTACCATTATTACTGATATTGTTTTTCAAATGTTAATTATAATTTATTTTGATTCATATTTAATTTAATTTTTAAAAATTGTAAATTAGTTTCATTATTAAATGAATAATTTTTGATAATATAGGATTTTTTTGGGGTCACTGAAAGACACTATTGTGGTGCGGCTTTATGCAATTTTCAGGAGTCGCAAATGCAACCTCATGCACCCCTTCAGTTTTCACCATTGTCTTGCATAACTATATAAAAATGTGTTTCCCGTAATTAATACCATTGGGAACAGTCAAAATGAATGCAAAGGGATGACAGTGACGAAGGATCGAAAAAGTTTCAATACATTCGATCAATTAATAATTTTCTTTTTAGAAATATTGTTTATTATCTGAGCGTTTTTTAAAAATTGTTTATAAAAACAACACCGGGAATATACAAAGTTGATATTTCGTATATGCTTGCATATTATTTTTTCTCCATAAATGCAGATTGATTCGTAATCCATCGTCCTTTTTTTTATATAAAAAAATAATAAGAAATCTACGAATTGCGTCTCTTAAAAGGTACTTCGCGACAACCGAATTGCGTCCACGGTATTTTGGCTGCTGTTGCGTTCGTAAAAATAATAAATTGTTATCATATATGTTCGGTGGTACATCTACTCGTAATGTTGGATGTTAGACTATTGGCCAGTCTTATCAATTATTGTTACCATATCTGTAAAAACTAATAATTTATTGAAAAAGTTTAAACATACCAAAAATTTTTAAATTTAAACTATTTAGTGAAAATAAATACGTGTTAAAGGAAGTAAGATAACGGGGGCATTTGTGCCAAAGGGCGCTCGACTAAATATAAAACTCGACATTAAATTAACAATATAGTTTGTTAGTTTTTGTATTCAAAAACTTTGTTTAAAGTAATAATAAACATAGTTTGGTAATGAGAAGTGCAACCTATAGTAACGCGTAGTAATTAATGAGTACCTATTTGGAAAAAATTCAGTACCCATGAAGAATCTTATTTAATGGAGGTAAAATATCGGTTTTTAATAAAAAAAATTGTAAAAAAAAGACTGAAAATTTGGGTGGAGGGGATTAACCTTTAAATCGTCCTCATATAAAGCCTTAAGAGGAAACGCTTAAAAATCGATGTCCTTTGGCGTCAATAATGACTTAAATCTGGTATTTATTAACGGATACAAATTTTCTTTCCAAACATTTTTAAATGATAAAGTTCAAAGGTGACCGTGTTCAAAATGTTTACGATTTACAATTTATAATACCTACCTGATGTTCATACACCTGATTTTTAACCATATCGTTAGTGAATAAATGATAGCCCTCGATATGTAAAAGTGGAAACAAAACCATGCATATTATATCAATTATTAACGGGGATGCAAATCGAATGTATCGTGAGAAAATCATGGACGCAACTACGACAAAATATAATTTTGGACGCAATTCGAGTGCGCTGTTCGTAACATTACAATAATACTGTTAGACAAATTGTCGAAATACATATGTTAAATTTTTGGTTTTTCTTTTTATAAATATATATATATATATATATATATATATATATAATATACGAATAAAACATACTTAATAATCATAATAATATTATGGTGACATGATCAGTTGAGATTATAAAAAAAAAAAAAAAAAAAAAAA